AGACCTAACCTTCGGATGTGTGCAATGTGACAAAAATAATAGTAAACGCGTGAGATAATTGAATCATGCAAACAGAGAGATAATGTCATAATTTAAACCATGCAAGCAGAAATTTAAAGGCAGAATTTAAAGAGCGATTGTTAAGTTCGCGAGGTTACATGAGAGGAGCAGATACAATATGATAATGAAATTTGAATTGAACAATAATAAAATAAAATAAATAACGGTTCTAGTTATTATTTTAAAAAAAAGATTTTAGTTATTATTTTAAATTTATCTAAAAAAAAGTTTTTCTTAAAAATAATAGGTTTTCATATTAATTTGGAAAAGATGTTAATGTTATTTATTTTAAAAAACAGATTTTTATATTATAACAAATTTTAATAAATTAATGATAACAATAATAATAATAATGGTAATAATAATGATAATAATGATAATAATAATAAATAATGATAATAATAATAATAATAATAATAATAATAATAATAATAATAATAATAATAATAATAATAAAGCAATAATGAATTTTAAATGTGCCAAATAACCCAACAATGTTGCTAACGCAGAAATGCGCTCATCGCAACCAGATCTAAATCGGACGAAACAAAATTTATCGCAAAGAAAAAGAAATTAAGCAAAAAATAGTATTATTGCTCACACAAAAATGCGATCATCGCAACCAGATCGAACTAACACAAATGTCACGCGTCATGCACACAAATGTGCAAACATCGTATCGACATAATTCGATCAAAAATCTTATATATATAAACTCTAACAATTTAAAAATTATATATATATAAACGTAACAGTAATAGATAAAGAAAAAGAAATAACGGTAATAGATGAAGAAAAAGAAATAACGGTAAAAGATGAAGAAAAAGAAACAACAGTAATAGATGAAGGAAAAGAAATAACGGTAAACGATGAAGAAAAAGAAACAATAGTAATGGATGAAGAAGAAAACTAAATAACGGCAAACGGCACTCACTCCTCTTAGGTTTTTTTCATTCTCTCCTCTTTTTCCAACAAGGCAACACATGTATATATAGGGAACAAATTAGGGTTAACACCAAATTGTCAATAATGTCCCTAAAGCCCATTTTAAAGCCCAAACTAAATAATTAGTTAAGAAAAAATAAAATTTAAATAATTTAAAATGATTAAAATAAACTTAAAATAAAAACTAATAATCCTATTGATTCCTAAAATAAAAAATATTATAAAAAGAACAAAATTTTTTTCAATATTTTTTATTTTATGATTTTTTGGATATTTTTATGAATAATTTAGAAAAAAGTGAAAAAAATAATATTTTAAAAAATGATTTAATTAAAATACGAAAATAATAATTAAATAATAATAAAAAACTATTTTTGTTATTTTTTTTTAATGAAAGATAGAAAAATTTAGAGTAAAAATAATAAAAAAACAAAAAAAATGACAAAGGTGAGATTCGAACTCTCAACCTCTCACACTCATAACTCCTTACACATGTCCTCCTGCCAATTGTGCCATTTTTACTTTTTAGAAAAAAAATGCATGCCATATGATATTTACCCAACCTCTCTTTGATGTTGGCAAAAAAAATCATGAAGTTTGACTTTGGTTTGACCACAGTTGACCTCAGTTTGACTTTTTAACTGCATTGACTGCTTTTGACTTATCTGATCATCTGACTGAGCAAACTTTTGAGAAAAGTCTTGAAACTTGACATGGGGGTTCTTATACACATATAAGATGTTATGAAGCTCACTTGAAGTCTTGGAAGTCTATTTAGCCTGATTAAAGTCAAAACCCTAGTTTTGGATGCACTGCTTAGGAGGTGCATTGTCTGAGGGAATTGTCAACTCTTCTGACCAATTGTGAATTTTGTGAACCTTGTGAACCTTCTTGGAACACAAAGTCTTGTATTGTGAGGGCAAATTTTGGGGTGCAACACTTTCACTCCGTTTTGTCTAATTTGTGCTCTAACCGACTTGCTTTTGTTAATATGCATCATAGTGTGAAACACTCTTGGTTCTTTTAATTTGTGTGTTATTGTGCAGTATTTGAGCATGAAAGAGTAGGATTTGAAGGCACAAGAATGATGACAGAGGAACCAAGAAAGTTGAAAGCAATAGCAAGTTCGCCAGCATGTTTGTTGAGCGAAGCAGTAACGAGTGTTCACTAAGCGAGCTCATAGAAAGCAGCTAGCGAACACTCCCAGACTTGGGCAGACGCACATTGGCATTGTTCGCTGGTAGCGAGGAGGGTAGCAAAGCACTCGCTAGGCGAGCACCTAGCAAGCAAGTAGCGAAGCCAAACAGAATCATACCTCAAGAACTCGCTAGCATATTCGCTGAGCGAGGTTGCAGCGAAGCCAAATAGAATGATTGCCTCAGACCTCGCTAGCATGTTCGCTGAGCGAGTCTGTAGCGAACATTCGCTGGAAGCTCGCTTAGCGAGCAGGGTCGGGAGCGTGGCAGACCATCAACTTTGTCTATAAATAGCTAGTGTACTTTTTGTTGAAAATATATACTTTTACTACTTTTGCTAAAAAGTGATTTTTGTGACCTAAAAACTTTTATGGCTCTCATTTCTTCATCTCTTAACATCATTCCACCAAAAAGAAGGTGGATTCTCATTCAAGTTGGATTCTTTGACTCGGATGTTCATCAACCTTCTCCCTATACTTCTATCGCAAGCTACCATGAAAATGAGTAGCTAAATACTTCCTTTTGTCAAGGTTAGATGTAGGTGATCATCAAGCTTTGTATGTAAATGTATTGATCTTCATTTGTAAACTCTTTGATGATGAATGTATGGTGAAAACTTTGCTTTATCGATAACTCTTTGTGTTGGTTTATGATCGAGAGATATTTTCCAACTCTTAACCTAGGTTTTCATCCATCTTTGTTTGTAAGCTAGAGATAGTTATGAATGAAGTTGTTCACATAAATGTTGAACTTTAATGTTGTCATTTTGATAGATTGTGTGAGAGATCAACAATGGATCAAAATGACAAATCCCACAATGTGAGTTAGAGATAATCACATTGAGAGGATGTTGTGAATGCATTTATCAACTAATGGAGTTTATGAATCTTGTTGATCGAACATATGTATGAAAAGCGATCACCGAACCCTAACTTTGGCAATCTTTCTTTAAACTGCAAAACCCTAACTTTTACCGCGAAACATTAATTTTTTATGCAAGATACCGTTACTAAAACCAAAACCCCCCTTTTGTTACTATAAAGTTACGAATTTATCAACTGTTGAACGACAACAATATCTTATATTCCCTGTGGAGACGATAACAAAAACCCGACACTTTACCACTGTCCTAACAGACACCTTATTGGTTTTCTGGTGATTTCAACTCTGATGTGATTCTATTATACGACACATGTTTTAGTATGATAGTAAACTCTTTTGAGGTTGCTAATCTGGCTATACTGCATTCACAGGTCCCCTAGCCTTTAAAGTTAGAAGTAAAAGACCGTATTTCCAAATAGAATTACTTCTAGTTGATAATTACATGTTTCTTGGGTTGTAGTCTACTTTGTTTGGGTTGTTTTTGTTCCAACAACCTGTTTCAATCTTTAATTGACCTCATGCTACTGTGTGAATGTTGTTTAATTGATGAATGTTGTGGACATGTTTCTGTTTTCTTTTCTAAACTACAGATGAAAAATAAAATTGTTCGTGAAGTGATTGACTTTGTCAAAGGGCATCAATGACTCTTCGATCAAATTCTTCGTTTAGAAATTGCTAAAGCAAGTGAGTTAAGAATGAAGCAGATCAATCTTGTTGTTGGTATTCTAAGCAAGGTATTTTTTAGTTCAGTCATTTCTTTGCTTTTAAAATACTTAGATAATCTTTGGAGGTGATAATTTTTTGTTCTGTAGGTCTAGGTGCAGACAAGTGATAATCTTTGGAGGTGATAATCTTTTGTTCTTTGTTGTTTTTATATTGATTGGTGTTTTATATGTGCAGTTGCTGAGAACGGTTCCACAACTGTAAAGTAATAAGGATAATGTCAGTGCAGACCTTTGCATACATTTTGTTGTGGTGGGCTGGCAGGCATAACTGTTGCTACATCTACTTATCCCTTGTTGGTGGTGGTGGTGCAGACCTTTATATGTATTTCAAACATGCCAAAATACATATAAAATGGAAGGTTTTTCAAGTCCTGGTTTCACAATGGTGCTTTGGCTGTGTTGGTTTATGTTATTAGATTTATTTTGCTTTGTTTATGTTACTACATGTATTAAATTATGCTGGAAGGATTAATTTAAACTTAGATTTTATATGGTCTTTGGAAGGACTAATTTTAATTTTAGTTAAACAATTTGATTTTATATTGAATTTGTTATATTTATTTTATTGGGCTCAAATCCGTCAAATCCGAAGAAAACCAAACTGAAGGCCCGAACCCAAATAAAACTGAATTCGAAAAATTCGAAATTCAATCCGGTTAAAAATGGATTGAAATTACTCACCCGATAGATTAATCGGATTAAAATTCTGAACCCGAATCCGAACCGATCCGACTCGCTGCCCAGTCCTAGTCTCAAACATGAGACCTAAAAGAACATAATGCTTTAGAGGAAGAAGTAGAAACATACACACACTTTCAAACACTCGACTTGAGAGTCAAAAATACTTTAGGTGAGAGGAGAACATACATCCATTAATATATTTTATTTAATTTATATTTGTATATAAGAGACATTAGAATCTTGTCAAAATTAAAAAGATTTTTTATTTTGGAAATTTGAAACACAATAGAAAACCAAATCCTCTTCTCCCAAATACATCCACACATTGGATTTGCCATTATCTTATCCGTCAGATAAGAGGCGATCGTGCTCCTCTCGCCTTAATCCTATCGGGATCTCACCCTTCTTCTTCCCACCAATCACAACACAAACAAAATACCCTCATTTCATTTCACTCACCACACAACTTTCTTATCTCACCCTTCTTCTTCTTCCTCTACCCACGCCAACAATGGCGTCTCTACAACACACCACCGCTTCACTCCACTCCAAGCACATCCCCAAAACCACAAACATCCTCACTCGAAAACCCATCCGCAACTTCTCCTTTTCCACCTTCACCTCCCCAAAACTCAAACTCTCCCTCACCAAAACCCGCCGCTCCACCGGCGGAGGAGCCCTCGGAGCCAAAATGGTATCCCAAGCCGCCGCCAGCTACGCAGCCGCTTTTGCCGACGTAGCAAAATCAAACAACACCCTGGACGCAACAATCGCCGACGTCGAGAAAATCGAACAGCTTTTTTCTGACCCCAAGGTGTTCGACTATTTCTGCAGCCCAATAGTCGAAGATTCCGCCAAACGCCAACTTATAATAGAGTTCGCCACTGCCTCAGGCTTCCAACCACACACACTCAACTTCCTTAACATCTTGATCGACTCACAGAGGATCGACGAAGTCCTCGACATTTTCAAGGAGTTTGAACTTGTTTACAATACTATAACTGATACCGAGCTTGTGGTTGTGACTTCAGTTGTGAAGTTGGAGTCGCAGCATTTGGCTCAGATTGCAAAACAGGTTCAGAAGCTTACTGGGGCTAAGAGAGTGAGGACTAAAACCCTTCTTGATCCAAGTTTGGTGGCTGGATTTACTATCAGGTATGGGAATACTGGCTCTAAGCTTATTGATATGAGTGTTAAGAAGAAACTTGAGGAAATTGCTGCTCAACTTGATGTGGGTGATCTCAAACTCGCTGTATGAACATTCTTCGTGCTTCCTTTCAATTTGGTTTACTCAAATTCTTACTTTTTTTGGATTATAAGTATATTTATGTATCTATGTATGAATCCTCAAGTGTGTACAACCTTCTTACAATAATATTGGCTCCCTGCTTCTTAAATTTAGTTTACTCATTAATCTGCCTTCAATTTTCTTATATAGAGTCTAGTTAGGATGTCAATTTGCATTTGTTATCATAGCCTCCATTGAAATTATTTGTTTGGAGCTCCGATGTAGAGGAGTTTTCTTCCCGTAATAACAGGAATTCATATCCGCTGTCTAAGATATCAAAATTCTCAAAATTCTTTTAGCTACGGTTCTAAACAGAAAACTATAGATAAACAATTTTGTCACTTTTCAAAATTTCACACTAAGGTTTTAGCTACAGTTCTAAACAGAACTATAAATGAACAATTTAGTCACTTTTCAAGATTTAACACTTGGGTTTTAGAAAGTTTTAGCATCTCTTTGGTTGAATGTTGAATTTGAAGTGGATTTGATTTTTGAGAAGCTACTACTTGCAGCTCTTGCGTGAAAAAATAAAATATTATTACAAAAATACCATTGTAGATGTGCTTTTGAGTAGGATTGTTTATGGTATAGTTCATAGAGAAAACTGTACCGATTCGAACCAAACCATAATAAAATTTATTTAAATTAATTCGAACCGTTTTAATTTACTTAGAACCGAATCAAATCAAAGTTGCTGGTTTAGTATACTGTTTAAAAATTCTATACTGTACCAAACCGTTAGAAAATAATTTTTCTAAATTGAACCATTTATTAAAGAACCATTTTAAATATAAAAGTTGAGCCTAAAAAAATTCTATATTGTACCAAACCGTTAGAAAATAATTTTTCTAAATTGAACCATTTATTAAAGAACCATTTTAAATATAAAAGTTGAGCCTAATTATAAAAGGGAAAATGAAAGCAAAGGTCAGAATATAAGAAGTGAGTTGGAGTTAGACGCAAATGAATCTATATTATAAAACACAAATTATACGACACCCTTGATTATATTGGCAAAAGATTGTACTCAAACTATGACATTGATTACGAGGAGAGTTCGCCAGTAACAAAGATGAATTATAGCAATTTGATGTTAAAATGTGTTATTGCATTTAAACTTAAAAGAGGAAGTGTATATGAAGATTCCATTCAATTTTAGTACCACAAATGAAGCCAACAAGGTCTGTCGATGGAAGAAATTCATATATGGATTAAAACAATCCCCTCAATTATGGTTAGAAAGATTTACAAATGCAATATTGTGATTGAGCTATAAGCAAAATCAATGAGATCAAACTTTATTTTTTTAAACATATACAAGGAGAATATTATTGTTATAAGAAATTATTTGAGTGAGAGACAACTACTTAAAAATAAATTATCAGTAGAATTTGAAAAGAAGGATCTTATAGAGTTGAAGTATTTCTTAAAAATTGAGGTAGTCCATTCAAAAAAAAGACATTCTTATCTCCTGGAAAAAATATGTGCTTGATCTTTTGCAGAAAATAAGAAAACTTGAATGCAAACCTACTAGTGTTCATATTGAACAAAACCATAAGATGCAATTAGTGTGGTGAGAAAATTTATGCATGATTCAGTGAGACACTTGCAGATGGTTGACCATATTCTACAATATCTCAAAGCCATTCCAAAAAAATGACTTTTTTTTAAATGAGGTGGAAATCTAACTAGGAAGATTTACATTGATGCTAACTATGAAGGTTTATTGATATATAAGATCTATTTCAAGTTATGGTACCTTATTGTGCGGAAACCTTGTTACTAGGAGGAATAAGAAGTAAAATGTAGTTGTTCGATCAAGTGTTGAAGCATAATTCAAAGCTATGATATTAGGGATTTGTGAACTTTTATGAATGAATCAAGTGTTAGAAGATTTGAAGATACAATCTGAAAGTCCTATAAAGCTGTTTTCTGGCAATAAGTAGACCATCACTATTGCACATAGGTTGATTTAACATGTCAGGACAAAACAAGTAAAGATTGACCAACATTTTGGATAATGGATTAATAACTATTGCCCATCAATTGGTCTACCAACAAAACAATATTCAACCAACTTACTTGCAAGTTAGTAATAGTCGATATCCATTTAACAACTTGAGAGAGTGTTGAAAATATTAACCTTTATAGTTATTTTATTTTATTAGTACAAGACCCATTAAATAAGCCCATTCTATTTATTTTTATCTCTACTTAAACTCGTTTATTCCCTAATTTAAATTACAATTTTAAAATATATGAAAATACTTTTTCTATATAAGTATAAATAAAATTAAATACTTAGCAAAGGAGGATTAAAGATTTCTTTAACTTTGCAGAGAAACGGTTTGAACTTATATTTGCAGCACACTGATACTACTATTAATTATCTATAATCAGAAAACAGTATGACAATTTAATTTCATTATTTCCATATTAGGAATGAATATCGTCTATTTCAGAACGTAAGTGATAAATATGAAAGTAGCCACATTTAATTTTAGTAATCTATGGGTGTAGAAGTTAATGATAACTTGGCTTACATGTGAGTCCCGAATCACTTAGTAATAATAAGTACTAGTCAAGACTATACCCCTAGTGAAACTATGAAGGTCAAGAAACAGGAAAATAACTATGACAAAATCGATCACTACTTGAGGTAAAAACATCTCACTCACTAAAGATTAAACATCTCACATTTTTTTGGAAATTAGACATCCCGCCTTTACATACCTCATGTTTGAGGGACTACGTATAATTAATTATTCTTCAAAAAATATATCATTCATACATGTCTCGTGCTTATGAGACTATTAACAATATGGTTTTTTTCGCAAAACATTTTACCCCTACAAGTCTCATGATTAAGTGACTAGACAAGTTTAAAATTTTGGTTCGTATCTAAACCTAGACTTAGAAGAGCCCGCCCCGATTTTAAGGCATCTCATAAGACAAGACCGAGCCATATCAAACGAGTATGGGCCAAGTCAAGTAAGCCAACTAATCTTACTGCCTACTAATTCCTTTCAACAAGTGGATATAGAACTTAAGTCATATTAATAACCATAAATGGATGGTTCTAGACATAGAAGCAAATGGTTTTATTCCAATTAACTGACCTTAGACAGACAAGGAGACAGTATTGAAATTCTGGTATGCAGATCACATGTGTTCCAAGAACATTGATCTCTGCTCAACAAGGGCGAGGACAGACCATGACCAATTTAAATTTCTTTAAATTGTCCCAATGTCATGACCAATGTCACGACCTCTGTTGTGACATCTGCAGTCTGTCATACTATTTATCTAACCATTTAAAGTACAGAATTGTAAATGCAGAAAGATAAATAACACAGTAATTGTTCACCCAGTTCGGTATCAACAACACCTACATCTGGGGGCTACCAAGTCAGGGAGGAAATTCACTATTAGTAGAATCAATTCAAAGTCAAACCTCCAGTTTGCACTTCTCACTTAATCTCTACCCAATGACACTTCAGCCTAGAGACACTCTAGTACCTGAGTATACCCACTCACTCCCCTCAATCACACAACAGTCATATCAAACAATTACATAAATCAGTATGAAGAGACACTTCATACACACCTTGATCTTGCTTCACAGCTTTGATCAAGGAACTCATACACTCTTGCTTCACAGCTTTGAGTGAGACACAACCTGGAATCTACCTAACCAATGCAATCATCAACCAGACAATTGCTTGGATTACGAGTATTTCTAAACAGACTTTACAAGTGAAGACTAACCTTCTTCACTTACAAATATGTCTACCTCAATGTATCAAAAGATACAAAGGGTGACTTGCACACAAGGGACTCTCAAACCCTAGACCTTTATTTTACACTCTGGTTTTTCTTGATGTGAGTGCTTGCTTTTCTTCTGCTTTTGCGCCTCCTTTTATAGTCGTGCAGACTGGGCTTGGGCTATGCAGAAGTAACAAATATTAGTTTTAACAAAATAAAACTAATTTCCACAATTCAAGGTGTTGTCCAATTAGGTCATGACATGGTCAACATTGCCTTGAATCTCTCCTGATATAACTCAGGGGTCATAACAAGTCTTCCTGAAATCTAGCTTGAGATAACAGAAAACCAACATGCCTGCACGACTGATGTTATACGATCAATGTCATGACATTTAGTATGACATTCAACTTTTGCTCACTCTTTGCTGACCAGCTTGCTCTGCTACGCACTTCTGCTGAATTTTCATCATGACAGTCATGGTTTCTCCCAATCTTCTGCAGAATAATATTAGAAACAAGCATATTCAAGTTTCCTAAAAAGTCTCCAAGATCCTTTTATGAATACCAATACACTTTGTTCTTGTTCCTAATCCATCTCCTTGACATATTTACTGATGAGGTATTTTCAACATGGTCTTATCAATCCAAACCAATTCTGTCAAGAGATATACACTAGCAGCTATGTCTTGCAATTATGTCTTGCTTAAAACACATGACAACACACCTCACTCACCACAACTCACATTGTTGTGGCTGCACACCTCACACTGCCTGTGAGGAGCTTCATCACAACTGCAACAGTTGTGGCTGCACACCTCACTCACTACCTGTGAGGAACTTCACCACAACTCAACCTGTTATGGCTACTGCTAACACATAGCAGCACCTGCTGTGCCAGACAGCTATGTCATTACTTTGGTAATGACATCCATGACAGTAGTTCATCCATGACAGCAGCTCTGTCATCTGTTCTCGTTAGCTCCTGCTGCAAGCTCGTGCTGCACCAGATGTAATGACATCCTGTTTACAACACATGACAACAGTTCTGTTATCAGCTCTTACTAGCTCCTGCTGCACCACTACTCCTGCTGTTTCTCACACACGATAGTAGTTCTGTCATGACAGCAGATGGATGTCGTGATGGATGTCACGACATTCAGCATCACATTCACATTAAACCACTCCACAACAGTTCTTTCACCA